CCCCGGGACGCGGGAAGTGGCCCCGGACTCGAGCCGCGCCCCCACCGTGGCTGCCCGGGTCCCTGTCCAAGACCCCCCACGGACTTCTCTCCCTGTCCCCGGCACAAGCCCGGACGAAAACCCTTAACCGCGTGGGCTTCAAACGTCCAGCTTCCGGGTTGTTAGGTGTTGAGGTTTGAAAGAAATGATCATTTCAGTGGCTTGCAGGAATGGCAAGGGAGGAGGGACCTTGAAGTGTTGTCACACTTGGGAAAATAACGCGCTGGTTTCCTAACTCGGGGAGCGATCAAAATAAAGGAATGTGTACTTCAGAAGCCACATCCAAAATACATGCAACTGGCGGAGGAAGGATTTGTGGTTGCTAAGCAGTGGCAGAGCATGTTTAGCTCTGTAACTTAGGATGTTGACTTAAGTTCAGGAATGTAACCCTGATAGAATAAGCAGAGTGTTTTCATTGTGCAGCTCACCTGGGGGAGGGGGATTGTTTTCCTTGTTAAGTGAAGCCCTAGATTTCCCATTACTCCTTTCTACTGATGCATGTTATTTTATTGATCTTGTATCCAAAAAGATTTTGAAAGAGGTTTTAGAAAAGAATCCCCTATGTCTGTTTTGTGTTCTCCTTTGCCATAAAAACAAAACACCTCATTACTTTACATGGATTGTGTCTACACCATTTGAATGGTTCTATTCATAAATCAGGAAACTTTTTCTGTTGCTTCTAGGAACTTTTAATTGGTTTTAATCCAATGTTTCAATCCCAGAATCAAATATAAATGAACAATTAACTTCTTGAGCTTTTGTGCACTTGGGAAACTATTATATTTCATGTATTGCTGAAATATTTCAGTTTGTCATCACACTGGACCTATTCTTTTCAGAAAAGCATGAGCTAACTAACATCTCCTTTCATACTAACTACAACACACCCCTGTGGTTCTGCTGCCAGATTAGAGTGAACAATAATCAACAGGATATGTGTCTATTCATTTCAAGGACATGATGTGGGATATCAGTTCATCCCAAGGAAGCCAAAATGAGCTCATATACAGAATATTAAGATACTGATATCCTTAATCATATACTCTTTTTTTTTTAAGGAACAAGAACCAAGAATGAACAAAGGAAGAAACAAGGGAAAATCTGAAGAAAAGCATCAGCATTTCCCTAAAGGTATATTACCACAATATCTATCCCTTCAGGCTTTGAGAGCTTTCAGGATATAGTTTAATTTACTAACTTTTTATTAGGAGACCTAGAGTGACTCCTGCTGGCAAACATTCAGTTTATTCCTGCAATTACTAGTTCATTGGGTCAACTTAAAAAACAAGATTCAGGGGTCCCAGGCCTGGAAACAATTACTGCGACCATTACCCTTGCTGCTTTCAGGACTATTTGGGTCTCTGAAAATCTCAAGGATGGTAGTTATGGGTAGCTACTTTGCTGTAACACCTCCTTTTCAACCCAAAGTAGCCTGTTTTTCTGGTTCTGAGGCTTTCTTGATAGTGTCTACAACTACAATTCCTGCTTAAGGGGCTGTGCTACTAACCAATGAATAGCTGTTTCTCATTTTCCAAATTTGAATCTTCAAAAGCTAAAAATATGTACATTGAGGCCTGCATCACTTAGTCTTCCATACTATAGGCTAAAGTCTTATAAAAACACTCACTTCTTAGTGCTAAATTTCATGGTTCTTTGTTATAAAAAGTCCTCCCCAAAAGGTTGTTGTATTAAAAGTTTTTCTTAATTCAGAATAGTAGATATTACCCAGGCAAACTCTGAATTTCAAACTGTGCAAGCTACAGTTGGGGGGAAGGGGAGCTAAATCCTAAACAGTCAACCAAATCAGAACCAGATTTAGAGCACAACCAGACACCTAAGCACAAATTCACAGGCCAATTTAGGAATAAATCCATAAATAATCTAACAGTGATCACTTACACCTTTTCTATTATCTTCGAAGAACATCCCAGGAAATATAAAATGCAGGGATTACTTTTAGTCTCTTATTCCAAGACCAATATATGAAACCCAGTGATGAAGCACAGAAATACTGGCTCTCTTAGCTTGCCCCAAAGGAGGACTACCAAATACAGGAATGCTTGTGTGCATGGTATGCATCATATATCCACTCAAAACTGCCAGAGATTTAAATTGTGTATCATTCTGTATTACAGACTCCCCCATTCCAAGTTTACAGCTCTTAAGCAACAGGAGACAATAAGGGTGTATTTTATTAAGAAAGGGTGTAACCAACTTACTTGTATCAACAAGCTACTAAAGTATTAACTAAGTACCTATTTGTATAGAGGAGGGTAAAGGCTGGGTTTTGATACACACTAAGGAGTGTCCCCCAGCAGTTAGTGGGTATTTTATTTTTTTCCCTTTAGAATCAGATAAATGTCCATACAACAAAGAACTAAGCTTTGAAGTTTCAGCAAGTATCAGTAAACACTCAGTTTCTCCCATCAAATCTATCTGTACCTAAGAATTCAACACTAAAAAATTATAAGCTGGCTTGAGAGAATAACATACTATTCTTTGTAGACTAACAAAGTGAACTAAACAAATGTCAAACATGTTATACACTGGGCCCAACAGCAGTATGCAGATGCATGTGTATTAACCCCTTTATTCAGTTTCCAAAAGCCACTGCCTCTTTGTCACAACTGTTGTATTAAAAGCCAGTCATTCACATTTCACACTGTTCTTTCTACATCTGAAAAGATCTTTTTTTTCAAGCAAAACCTTTTAAAATTGCTTATAATAGATTATGGGAAGACAGACATGACCAAATCCACCTGAAGTGTTTTTTCAAAGAACTGGTAACTGAAAACAAGTTAGCAGAATACACTTCTGTAGAAAACTTGGAAAGTTCCTGGTTATAGCTAGGGACCAAAAATATAATCCTAACATGGGGGTAATTTTCGTGTGTGGATCTTTTTCAGATGAATAAATTCTGTCATTTTTCCAACATCTATGTCTGGCTATAATAGCCCTACCTGCTAAGCAGGTTATGGCACACTACTTCTGTTCTTTCCATCCACTGATGAAAGTGAGGAATAGCTATGGCTAGAATTACACATATTTATAATTTTTTTTAATATACACAAACATATATAACACATACACTAGAGATACTTTAACCTTTTTTAAAAGACACTTTGGCTCTTGAAGATATAGTTACTTTGTGATTCAAGAACTAAATAAAACAAATTTATTTTCATTGAAAAATAACCACAGTAGTGAATTTAATACCAATCTCACTCCATTGATACAAAGTAAGAGTTAAAAGCAGCTTGAAGAGGAATGACTATTGAAATCAGTTGCATGTGAAGCTGCACCAGCTTTGTAACTGAATGTCTAGCACCATTGAGGTACGAAAGCATGCCAGCTGGGACGGCATTGTGCATCACAAAGTGTGGGTTGTAAGCCTATGTCCTGAGCACAAACCCTGGTTTCCAAGTTGGCAGGTGCTAAAAACACAGCAAATGTCACGCTTGCAACTGAAGAGCTCTGGATAAAGTAAGCTAAAAAGAACACAGTAACAGTTAAAACTTATTTCAATTTGATATTACTTTATTTTTGGCAAAGCCAATAGTTACTACCCATATTGTGTACTATAAGAAACCACAAGGATGAAAAGTAGGACACTGAAAAGTTTATGCATGGTAAATTTTTAAAAGTATGAAAAGGCTTTTCACCATCTATATTCAGTTACTGGCATATAAAAAACCAAAATTCAAAAGCATAATCCCTAATCTATGATCTCAAGAGAAGGTGACTCTAGTATCACTGTAACATGGTTAATAACCTATAAACAAAGTTTGTTTTCCATTACTTCACCAAAAATATAACTAAAACAAGCCACATTTTCATGTTGCTATCATATCAATCTAGAAAATATTTCAGCTGTATACCCATGCTAAAAGTTTGTTACAATCTTCAAATAAAAACTATGTAAATATCTTTCTTAAATATTTGAGAGAAAATCAAATTTAAAGCCCAAGCTTTAATTTTTCTGTCAACTCTGCCTTTAAAAAGTCATGGCCTCAAGAAAAATATATCTTTGGGCTGGACATTTAGCTCAGTGGTTCCACCACCTTCCTCGCAAGCACAAGGTCCCAGGCTTGATCCCCAGTACCAAAAAGAAAAAAGGAAAAGAAAAATATATTTTCTGTTCATGAGAAAATCAAATTTAAAGCCCAAGCTTTAATTTTTCTGTCAACTCTGCCTTTAAAAAGTCATGGCCTCAAGAAAAATATATCTTTGGGCTGGACATTTAGCTCAGTGGTTCCACCACCTTCCTCGCAAGCACAAGGTCCCAGGCTTGATCCCCAGTACCAAAAAGAAAAAAGGAAAAGAAAAATATATTTTCTGTTCATCCCTACTGATATGCTCAAAACTATGGCTATTCTGTCTTTTCCTATAAAAATGAAAATTTCCCTTTCATTAGGTAAAACAAACTGAAACTAAGTACATTTATTGATTTTACAGAGCTTAAATGCTCAATCTAAAGAATGAATCCTTTGGATTTAAAATATTCAGGAAAAAATTAGTGTCTAGTTCCAATGAGTAGAACATTACTGTGATTGATATGAAAAGAATATTTGTTATATATATCTATAGATATAGATATGTATATCTATATCTATAGATATATATATGCATGTGGATTTAACTCTTCAATCATTTGTCAATTTACTATACAAACCAAAAGCAAAGACCTTTTAATTCATACCACTGCAAAAGACCAGCCTTGCCCATTTGGTATATGCATATCCCTACAAATGAAATATAAAAGAACTGATATGAGAAGTCTACTTGCTTCTTTTTTTTTTTTTCCCGCTTGCTATTTTAAATACTAGTTTATAGCTCCTTTAACTTTTACAAGGGACCAAAACAACCCCAACCTTGTTCAAAATCAAGTTAGTCAATGTTGTACTGTTAAGCTACCTAATATAAAGAATAAAGTAGGACAGGGATTTAGCTCAGTGGCATTGAGTCTGCCTCACAAGCACAAGGTCCTGAGTTCGATCCTTGGTACCCCCCCAAAAAAAGAAGGAAGCTGTAATTATGTTCTAAAGATGTTGTACATATCTTATTGTCCTCATATGTATAGAACTTTCTTAAAATGACTGAAAGACTAAAGCTCTTAAGGTTTAACCAGAGAAAGCAATATTGCTGTGGTCAACATTTCTACAGTCATACTAGGTACTCTAGATGCTAATATAGTCACTTAACCTACTAATAAAAAAGGTTCAAGAAATAAACTGAAAATCCAATGTTTTCTACATTAGCAAAAATAACTGATTCATTGTAGTTTTATATACTCTACTGTCAGTTCCAGTATACAGTAAATTCAAATCAGATAAGCTAAAGTATTGCTCAACCTCAAACTTTAAAATGCCACTGTGTATAGCAGTGTTAACTTATAGCAAAGAAAATAAACATAACTCAGATCAAAGGTGGAAAGCAGCCTGCTGCTTTCTAACTGGTCAGTTAATGACCCAAATCCAACACAATAACTGTCATGAAACTGAATGCCACCAATGCATGATCATTTGGGGACCTGCTCTTGAGTCTTTGATATCACTTGAAATAATGTCTTTGCACTGAGCTCTAATGAAGCAAAGTGTAGATATCCTTGTCCATTTGTTTTCCATGCAAATACACCCACATTAACATTTCCCTCATCATACCTACATTTATTACTGAATAATTACCACTAAAAAGATATTGATCAGCTGGGGATGGTGGTCCCTGCCTATAATCCTAGCATTCTGAGGTGAAGGATTGAGCTCAGCCTGGTCAGCTTAGCAAGACCCTGTCTCAAAATTAAAAAAAAAAAAAAAAAAAAAA